AGAGTGTACAGGGTGTACAGGATCTCACTGCATTGATTGGACTCATAGTGATCCTTCTGTTTACAGCCTCCCAAGTTCTGGGATTACAGGTGTGCGCCACCATGCCCAGTCTCAATCTCATCTCGGTGCCCTCTGGGGGTGGGACCGGCATGGCAGGCCAGGGAATCAAACTCCCAGCCTGTGTCTGCCTAAGCAGGCACTTTAATCCGCTGAGCTATTTGGCCGGTCCTCCTCTCTCAGGGTTATTTCTTCCCATTTTTAAGTGTGTCTCTCATTTTCAGTCCATCATCCTCTTCCCCTCCCCTCACCCCCTCCTCTTCCCCCCACTCTCTCTTCCTCTCCTCTCCTTCCTCTACCTTCTTCTCCGCTCCTTTTCCTCTTCCCCTCCCTTCTCCCCTTCTCTCCCCCTCCTGTTCTCCTTCTTTCTCTCCCCTCCTCTCCCTCTCCTCTTCCCCTTTCCTCCCCCTCCTCCTTCTCTCCCCCTCCCCTCCCCTCTCCCATTCTCTTCCTCTCCCCCTCCCCTCCCTCCCCTCTTCCCCTCTCCTCCTCCTCTTTCTCTCCTTTTCCCTCTCCCTCATTCTGGAGGCCCAGTGGCTTCTCACTAAACTACATCCTTAGCCTTTTAAAAACTATTTTCTTTTAAAATTTTGGGGCAAGCTTTCATTAAATTTGCCCAGACTGGGTTTAAACTTGCAGTCCTCGTGCCTCAGCCTCCTAGAGTGTCTCTCTGACCCTCCTAGAGTGTCTCTTTGACCCCCTCTAAACTCTTTCTCTGCTCATGTATTCATTTTTCCCTCTCCTCTCTTTCTTCCATCTTTTTAAAACATTAATTGAACAATTAGCAAATGAAAGTGATATATATATATATATATATATATATATATATATATATATATATATATATATATATGAAATTAAATTCTGTGCGTATTCATCTTCAACCAGAAGTGCTGTTTCATTAGAGTTTCACCTTTGGTTAATTTGTTCTTCGCTTCATTCCAAAGCATTAGTGAAACACCTGGCTTGCTGAGCCCCTGCCACCCAGCTCTACGCCCGCCTCCTGCTCCAAGCTATCAAAGCCAAGAGCTCCTTCGGGGTCCTTTTTCTACCGCTCTGAAAACCCTCCAGGTGGCCGGGACCGCTTCACCCAGTACCAGCCTCTGCACTCACCAGAGCTCCCAGAAGAATCTCTTCCGCGTTTGCTTTTCCCTCCAGATTCCTAAGCCCTTCAGTAGCAGGAAGTGCATCTCTGGGACTTTTTTTTGCATCCCTGGCATCTCCCTCAGCACACCCAGCCCACAGTCGGGTACTGCACGTGGCCCGCAGCGAAGAGCACAGAGATCTAGCAAAATGGAGAAAGAGAGCGAGGAGGAGGGGCGGAAGGGAGAGAAAGGGCGAGGACGGCAGGGCGAGAGTTTCATCATATTTTGACGGGAAAACTAAGGAAAGCGTCATTTATGAAGGATTTTAAACGGGACCATGGGAGATAGTTCAGGCATGGCTATTATGGGGTGGAGGGGAAGACTAGCCAAGGAAAAGGGGGCTCTGAGCAACAGTAGGAATGCAAGAGAGAAACCGCAGGTGGACCCGCGCCCATGGGATGGGAGGCATCTGAGAGAGGGCGTGAGAGCAGAAGTGGGGGCAGGGTAGACGTGGCACAGGGGTGCAGACACGCAAGGGAGGTGATACCATGCATGTGCACCCCCGAAGCCACGGTGGCTGCATTGTTTCTGGTCCGAAGGAGACCTTTTCAGCGGGCAGGGGACACTGTTGACAATTGCACTGAGATCAGAGGTTCGGCTGGGCCTATCTAAGGCCAACAGGGTGGAAGATAACTATGTGAGTCCTCTGATGTGTGGCAGTTCTGACTTTTCCTTCTCCAAACTCCGTGGCATTTGTGCTGCGTGACTTCATCCTTCATAGTTTGCTGATCATGTTAACAGTGTTGTATTTTGTCTTTCTCACTTTGCGGGTGGCTTCTTGAAAGCGGGGGGCTTCACGTATTTTCATTTCTTGTGGCCCTGGGCAGTCTGCGAACTCGCTAGGTGCTCAGCTTCTGCTGTTACATCCGCAAAGGAGAATAACCACAACAACACAACCTTCAGTGGGAAAAATCTGTGGCACGTAGCTACATGGGATACTTCAGCTGTTTTCTCCTAGCCCAGTTCTAGGGCTGACAGTGATGACCCTGGGATCAGCTCGGGTGTGTCTGGAATCTCAGCCAGCTTATGCAAAGATGAGGGTCACACCTCCAGCTTTCTCTCTCCGACCCCTGAATACTCAGCCCAGTGTCCAGTCACATTATGTCACCCTCGCCCCTTGATGCTGATCTTCATGAAATCTCCATTTGGAATATTTGGGAATAGTCACGGGGAATGAAATGCCTTTTTTTTTTTTTTTTTTTTTTTTTTTAATCCCAAAAATTGCTATGGGATTTTATTAAGACTGGCTTGTTGTAGAAATGTATCCCCCTCACTGTCTTAAACCTGCTCAATATGCAGGGAGTGTTGAGAGTTTTCAGGTGGAATAACTAGATTGTTCCCAAGGCTGATGGCTGTGTTGTGTAACGAGCTGCAGTTTTAAACACTATGCCAATTAATAAAAAATGTCGCTGTTTTTGTCATTTCTCACAGTTCATCCTGAGTGTCAGGCTCGATTATAGGATCTCATACATGCTGTCCATATACAAGAAGGAGTTCGGTGAGAACAACGACGCTGCCGAGACGTCTGCCAATGGCTCCCCAGATACTTTGGTGCCAGCAGGTATCTCCCCTGTGACAGTGTTCGCCGTTTGCATTTTATTTTGTAAGAACTTGAAAAGGCCCGTCTGTATTTTAAAACAGTGTTTCTCCCACAGCATTGCTGTGGGAGAAAAAAACATAGAAGTTATCTCCACCTGTGATACGAGAGAGCTCAGAACACCAAGTAACTCGCCTGGAATGGCAGAGAGGATATTAGCTGGTGCTTGTGCTAACTCCTGTGAATGCCTCGTGCGTGGCGCTCTTGCCAAGTCTGTGAGGGAGAGAGAGGGTGTGCGGTACCGTTGCACCAATGAGAAACCCAGGGGCAAAGGGTCGCCCTAAATTACTTCCTGAGGGTCAGGAAAGTCAGAATGCCCCCATGGTCTCTTCAGCTCTATTCTCAATCTTTTTAGCTGGGTGCATTTAAGTGAAAATCCAAGAGAAATTTTTCCACCTGCATCAAGGAACAGTGAGGAGGAAGTGTAAACGGTGGGGATGCTATCAACTTCCTCAGTAATAATAGTGGGGCATTCCCCAAAGCCCTGCAGGGGCTTGTTGGTTTAGTTTTGAATTTTTGTTTTTCTTTTTGTTTTTACTTTGCCTGATTATAAACTGGGCTTATATTTAAATGTTAGAAGTGTGAGAATAAAGTGACTCTTAATCTCTGAGACTTGGAGCCTAGCACCCAAAGAGCACAAAAATGATTGTAAACTTCTTGAGAGTATAGAAAGGACTTTATGAAAATGAAAACTATTAAATTGCTGGTTGTTTTGGATAGACCAGGCCAGCTGTAGCAGGCTGGAAACTGTGTCTGATGAGCTACTTAACCAGTTAACAGAATCCTTTTTCTCAGGATAGGATTTGTCCACAGACACAAAACTTTCTTTACACCAGAGCCACTGGCAGTGTTAGGATCTTTTCTGTTCTCTATCCCACAGTCAGTTGGCAGTCAGGGCTCATTGATTGCACATAAGCAGATAAAGTGGATGTTTTAGGGCCAGTGTTTTACTGTCCATGCCTGAATCGGAAAACCCCAAATGCAGTCTGGCCCCCGACGACGGGCGGTGGCTCGCCGAGAGCATCCCACTGGCACCTTCGCAGCCATAGCTTTTGCCTGCTTCCCAGAAGCGCAGAACCCCAAGAGCCATTTCCAGAAACAGGAGGGCAGATCCAGAAAGTCGTGCTGGCGGTTGCATTGACAGAAGAATAACAATTATTGGCTCCCAGAAGCCAGATTTCTGGAAACAGGAGCCTTGAGTGTCAGTAAAGTGCCAGAGGGGAGGTCCAGGGGCATGCGGGAAGCCCCTTTTCTCTCACTGGCGTGGCCGCCCTCCTTGTGTGTCTCTCCAAGGGCATCGTTCTGAGGAGCAGGGCAGGGACTGCTTGTTCCTTTGTATATCTTCCTCTATTTTCTTTTCATGTTTTGGAGAGACGAGACATGAATTATATGGTTATCATTTAAACATAATAGTTTAAAACAGGGGTCCCCGGATATTAGTGATGGGGTGCAGTGAGGAATCATGGGTAGTCTGAATAGAAAAAAAGGAAGAAAACACCCTTGACACAAAAAAAGAGATGGAATTTTGGAAGTTAGTAAGCTTAAGTAAAACGACCACTTTGATTGGACTAAAGAATTTGCGGTGAAGCTGGCTCTGGGTTCAATCCTCAGTACTTTGGAAGAAAAAAAAATATTGTAGAGCAATAAGGCTCATTTTGTGTATATTTTGATTTAAAAAGAATTAACCTACCATATTGTCGCTAATTTAAGTTACATGTGTGTATGTTCCCATATATCGAATATACATATAATGGAGATAGAGAAACACATGCATGTACATAAGGCGCACCTCTGTGGGTGGCGCTTCCTGCTCTATTAAATCTACATTTGATTATAATAATACATTAGTTTGAAATATAGCTTCCATTAATAATGAGCAACAACATTCATAAAGGCCTGTGTTTGACCCACTGCATCAAAGAATTAGTAAATACATGGAAGCCTTAATTTAAAATTAATGTTGAAATTGAAACAGAATGATTTTGTGATTTTTAAAACCTATTCACTGACCTATGGTGGCATAAAGGCAAAAAATCTTCAGGTAAGCTACAATTAATATGAATATTGTGACTCCTAATTAAGAGGATAAAGAAAAGATTTCACCTTTTTTCTTTGCAGCTATTGTTCCTGATATAGATGAAATCGCGGCTCAGGCAGAGACTATGTTTGCTGGAAGGTATAGTGACATTTATGCGTCTTTCTCGAACTTGCCAATAAAATTTTATGTGCCGTTGTGTTGCTGTTTGTTACTGTTCCCCTCCATATATCTATTTTTAGACCATCTATGTTGTGAATATAATTTCCACCAGAAACCAAGCTACCAATTTACTCTAGAGGAGAAAGCATCCCTTTTCTTTAGGTCAGGTTAACAAGAAAAAAAGAAAACAGGAAGAAAAAAAAGGACCAGAGAGATGAGATCCGTGTATTAAACTTTTCCCTGAATTCTTTCCTTTCTCAAATAATGACAGCACTAGAATGCCCTTTAACTCCTCTGAGATATATATATATATATATATATATATATATATATATATATCACCGCATCTTATAAAATACTGCTGCCTTGAATCTTAGGTATTTGAGGCAAGAAAGTAACTTTTCTTAATGTTATCATTAACTTTATATGTGAGATATAAAGCTATTTTCTGCCAGTTGGAATATCCATGATTAAAGAAAAGGAGCTGTCCGTGGCATAACGACCCTGCATTGCTATCAGGAATCTTAGCACATTTATTGTTGTGGAGTTGTATTACCTCTTTTTAGAAATGAAGGTAATAGTAATCAAAATAAAAAAAGTAAAATAGCTAAGCTAAAATGATCAAGAATTGAGTGTTCATTTTATTAGACAACATAAATAACTAAAAAGGGCTGTACTAAGTTTTTTTTTATAACTTTTTTGTTGTTAGAAGGCAAATGGGACTAAGAATTAAACAGCCCCCACTCAAAGAGCTTTTTACCTTCAGAATGGGTTTACCTTTAGGTTCTCTCTCCCTCTCTCCCTCTCTCTCTCTCTCTCTCTTTTTTTTTTTTTTTTTTTTTTTTTTTTTTTTTTTTTTTTTTCGGTCAGCTCCGCCCACCCAGGGGGTGGGGCTGACACGGCATGTGGTGCTGGGGCTCTAACTGCCATCCCTGTGCACTTGCCTAAGCTTGCCTAAGCAGGCACTTTAGGCTGCTCAGCTCTCTCACGGGCCCTGTTTTTGTGTTATAGTAACATTTTTGTTGTGTTTTCCTATGGAAGTACTTCATTGTATCGGAAAGAAAGAACCACTGTATGGTTTCCCTTTAAGATACAGCCATGTGCTGCATCATGATGTTTTTGTCAATGGCAGACTGCTGAATCAATGCTGGCCCCACAGAATTGTGACCTCATGGCTGTCCTATTGTCCGAGCACAAGGGGTTGCCCGCCTCTGTGGTGATGCTGGTATAAACAAATTACTTTGCTGCCTGTTACATTAAAGTATTGCACATACAACTGCATACAAGACAAAATACTTTGATAAAAGGTGACTGTGTTCCTGGCATATGTCTGTATGTATTTTCATCACTACTTTAAAGAGCACATCTACCTATGTGAAGTAGAGTTTAGAGGCTAGGGAGGTAGCTCATTGGCTTACGTGCCTGCCTGCCAAGTGCAAGATCCCGAATTTGATCCCTGGTATTGCATGCCTTGCCGGCCCTGGAACTGGGTGTGGTGGCACATGCCTGTAATCGCAGCACTAGTCAGGCTGAGACAGGAAGATCACTACGAGTCCAAACTGCATAGTGAGACCCTGGATTAAAAAAAAAGTAAAGTTTATCGTAAAGCAGCATTCTGGGTTACGCCAGTGTTTCTCTCGTGCTTGTTTTAACCAAGTGTTGTTCTGCTTATCATAGCCTTAGAAGCAGTAGGCTACACTGTCTGCACATACCTAACCTGTGTATGTGTGTGCTGCGTAAGTGTCCTCTGGGATGTTCACGTCATTGCACGATTGCTGAGGCCTTGCATTTTTCAGAATGTGTCCCCATCATTAGACAGTATGTGACTAGACCTAGGCCTTTTATTCCACTCCAGTCTTATTCAGAGTCCCATTATATTAAGCATAAAGAGCTGTTTCGGTGATGGCTGTGTGAGTGTGGACAGCGCTCCCCTCAGCCTTCTTTCCTCTTGTGGGGATCTCACCAGCCCTGGGGAAATCAGCCATTGGGTGCACCGTCCAGAAATGCTTTTGGCATGTGGAGATAGGAATGGGATCTGAGGGTGGGGGAGGGGGAGGGATGAAAGGAGAGGAGAGGGGGAGGGGTCAAGGGGGAGGGGAAGGGGGATGAAGGGGGAAGGGAAGTCTAATTCAAATGCCATATGTGTAGGCATCCAGTGAATGCAATTATCGCGTTTCACAAACATATACTAGTGAAAAAGGGGGGGGGTGTCAAATTCCTGCAAGAATCTGCATTCTTTGGGGGGTGATGCTTGTAGTCAGTGCTTTCAACTGTCCAATAAAAGTCCTCTGTATGAACACAACAATAGGAAACAGATATACCTATTAAGCAAGGAAGTGGATCGAGGAGGGTGTGAGAGTCTTAGGCGCACAGGGAAGAGCGGAACAGGCGCCGTCTAGCCACGAACAGTGTATCTGTGGTACACTACCAACATGTGCTAATAGAGAACCTAGAAAAAGTGAAAGGTGTAGGGATTTCAAAAAATACAGTTTTTGATTAAAAAGACGCCTGCCTTTTCTCTCTGCATGGGTGACTAGCTCGTCCTAGTCTGTCTCAGAAGTCCCTCAGGCGTGGCCCAACTCTCATGGCTCAGTTATCCGGGCTTTTATCATCAAACACCAGTTTTTCTTTGCTGGTTGTTTCCTGTTGGTTACACAAAGGGAGAAAGAAGTAAAAAGTTCTTCCTTATTTGGGAAGCAACCGACAAACCTCTGAGAACAGTATAATTTTAATCATTTAATTTAGACATTATATAAATGTGCTATTTAATAACCACTTTTCATTTTCTAGAAAGGAAAAAAATCCAGTCCAACTTGATGATGAAGGAGGCAGGACGTTTCTGCGGGTCCTCATCCATCTGATTATGCATGACTACGCCCCGTTGCTGTCCGGGGCGCTGCAGCTGCTGTTCAAGCATTTTAGCCAGAGAGCGGAAGTGTTACAGGCATTTAAACAGGTAAGGGTGGCTGGAGAGATGGCTCAGTGGTCTGAAGCACCTACTTGGAACAAGCTTGGCAAAGCCCAGGGACCGCGGTTCAATCCCCCAACACCACATGCCAGCCAGACCCGCCCCCTGGTGGGCTGAGCTGGCCACACACACACACACACACACACACACACACACACAGAATAAATAAATAAAAAAACAAAACAAAGCAAAACAGGTAAGGGTGAGCCTGGAGGTACAGCTCAGTGGCAGAGCAGTAGTCTAGCATGAGCAAGCCCTCGGTTCAATCCCCAGTTCTCCAGAACTTAAAAATAAGGTAAAAATTGAATAGTCTTAATATGAACCATAGGCAAAACAGTGAACATATTGCTGACAAGCTCCACCGTGACTTTGGTGTTGCAGTTAGTGAAACGTTGTGGCTTTTTCCTCGGAACATGTTCTATTTTTAAAACATAGATGTGGCTTCCTCTATACCAAGACATGATCTATTTTCAAAACAGTTCCTCAGAAGTGATACATGGGTAATAGCTTTAATATCAATAACGGGCACGAAGGTTCAGGAAGATGCTGGAGGACAATAACATTATTAGGAATTTTGTTGCCACTACTATTATTTTGACCCCATAATTTATTTTATTTCTTATTTATGGAGAAAGGTAAAACAATTTCATAACAAGGTAATAGTCAATATATTGCATATTGTTACCTTTGAAGTACTTACTCAAGAGTATAAGATATGGGCATAAAAATTCTCCAGTTGATATTAGTGCTGATCTTCCTTTTCTATGAACTAAGAGACATTAATAGGATAACTAACTTGCATTTTTTTCTCTCTTTTCCCTTCCACCATCCAGTTCGTTTTTCCTTTTTAACAATTTCTTTCCATTTCACCATACCTACTATGCATTTTAGACCTTCTACACTCTTTCAATTTCTCACAGCAGGGAGACAGTGCCATGTTTACACACGAGTCTGATTTATTTCACCAATGAGTATGGTCTCAAGTTGGATCCATTTACCTATAAAAGTTTCCAGTTTATCCTTTCTTATGGCTGAGAAGTACTCTATTATATAAAAATAAAATATTTTTTAATCTATTCCTCAATTGATAGGCTTTTGGATTATGTCCAAGGTTTAGCTATTACAAATTGCATTGTTATAAACATAGGTGTTCGTATATTGTTGTGGTATGATGTATTTAATTCTGGGAAGTTACCCAGAAGGGGAATAGCTGGGTCAAATGGGATCTTTAATCCTTTGAGGAGTCACCGTGCTGATTTCCACAGTGGTCGTACCAGTCTGCACTCCCACCAACAGTGGAGAAGGCTTTTTGGTCCCCAGAGCCCCTCCAGCCTTTGTTATTGGTTGACTTCTTGATGATAGCCATTCTTTCTGGGGTGAGATGGTATCTCAGTGATGTTGTAATTTTCATTTCTTAGATGACCTATGATGTTGAACATTTTAAAATATATTTATGTGCCATTTGTATTTCTTTTTCTTTGTCTGAGAAGTGTATGTTGGTCTCAGATGCCCAATTTTGGATTGGGTTTTTGAATTTGGGGGTTCTGATTTTTTTTAGTTCTTTATATGTTCTAGATAGAAGTCCTTTGTCTGAGGGAAAATTGGCTAAATTTTTTTCCCAATCTGTCGGTTGTCTTTTCACTCTGTCAGTGATTTCTTTTGATGTCCAAAAACTTTTTAATAAGGTCCCAGTTGTTGATTCTTTGAAGCATTTCCAGTGAAGCTTGATGCCACATTTTATTGATACATTGGGTAAGACAAACAAGAGCTTCAAAATAAATATTTTGCAACTGAATAAAATGTATTAACCCAAAGGAAAGGAACTGTTAGAGATCTTATCTTGTTCTTTATGATCTCTGAATAAGATATCAACTTGAGATTATTAATTAGTAATACCTATGAGCTTATATCTCATTAATGTTTACTGTCTTAAATAGGGTATCTTATTAGGAAGTTTTTCAAGAATATGCTAATGAATATGAGATGATGACAGTCATATAACTCTAAACAGCTTTGCACATATTTGTATATCATAATCCATATACATTATAATAAAATTCACAATGAAGTTTGTGTGTACTTGTGTTTTCTGCTTATTTTATCTACGTGTTTTCAAACAGTCTCATAAGAATTAGTATCAACAATGAAATTAGAGTAAATATCCTTTATGTTCAGTTGCTCTTTTATTGCCTTTTTTTTTTACAAACATTTACTTTAAAGAGGGTATAGCAATAATTGATATGATATTAGAAGCAGTACGCATTTAGAAGACCAAAATGATAGGTATTTCAAACATGGTTTTAGTGTAACATATTGCTATCTTCCATGTAGTTGCTTAGTTCATAGGTATCAGCATATAGAGTTGGTCAGGGGGAGAATTCTACCCATTAACTGTTATTTTCAAAAACCTGATGGAGATTCTTAGGACCATTGGCTTAACCATCTTGTTTATATATAAATTACTCTTTTAACACTATGAAAAGACTGGCTATAGCACATATTTTTAAAAAAATTCTTTATAATGTTTATATACAGATTGGAATTTACAGATATTCCTGAGTAAATTTTCATGGACAGTATAATGTGAAATATTCATAAATGTTCTAGAAATACTGCATTCAACCAAGAAATGTTTACAGACTTATGCTTTTGGGCCAGGGAGACAGCTCAGCAGTCTAAGTGCCTGCCTGGCAAGTGCAAGGACCTGGGTTCAGTCCCCGGTACCATGTGTGTGCCATTCAGGCCCTGCACGATATGGGCTACTGAAACCGGGTGTGGTGGCACACACCTGTAATCCCAGCCCAGGGGAGGTGGAGATAGGAGGATCACTATGAGTTTGAGCTGTGTAGTGAGACCCTGTACCAAATAAATAAATAAATAAATCAATCTTTTTTTTTTTTAAAAAAAGACTTGCAATTTTATACCTAAAAGAAATAAGAATAAAAGAAGTAGTACAAATAGATTAAAGGTTGAAATGCTTCTGTTTTTAGGTGCAGTTACTGGTGTCCAATCAAGATGTAGATAACTACAAGCAAATCAAGGCAGATCTGGACCAACTTCGACTGACCGTGGAGAAATCTGAGCTGTGGGTGGAGAAGAACAGTAGCTACGAGAATGGGGAGATGGGTGAAAACCAAGTAAAAGGTGGTGAAGAGCCGAATGAGGTTTGTCTCCGAGATCTCTTTTGAAATAATTCAAGTAATCTATTTTAAGGAAGATATTTTTTAACCATTTTCTATATATTCAGAATTGTTCATGAATTAGACACTGGTTCTAGTCAACAAAATGTACCATTTTTCATTGTTTATTAGTGAACTGTCCTCAGGTGCTCTTCATTTGTCACGGCCTCCCCTCGTACAGTAAGAGTATCTAAAGGGAATGCCCCATGCCTTATTTTCAATGTGAAAGCCCTAAGAACTTATGTTTGAGCTGAAGAGTTACAGTGAGATGCTCCTTTCCAGTCTTTGTTGCATAGGAATTTGCATTTGTAGTTAATTGTTGCTTTTTTCCCAGTTTATTTACCAATGGCCATTTTTAGAAAAACTATGTTTTTGTGGTAATGCTTAAATAAAAGCAGACCAGTACTAGTATCATGACTGATAATGCACTGTCTGTCCATCCATCATCCATCCCTCTGTCCATCCATTCGTCTGTCTGTCCATCCATCCATCCATCCATCCATCCATCCATCCATCCATCCATCTATCATGCTGGCAATTGAACCAACACTTCTTGAATACTGGGCATGTGCTTTACACTGAACTAGCCCCTCAGCTCCTATTTATTTGTTGTTTAATCTGTAAGAATATAACATATTCAGGTAGGCTCATCTCTGTCAGCTTTTATGCTTGTTGGAGTATCCAAACTAGTGACTTTGGAGTGAAGAATGGTGGTAGATTAGGAAGAGTTAAAATGTTGAGAAGTTTCAAAGGGAAATTGAATTGGTGGGCTATCACTTCTTGGCCTTTTGGCTAAGATCACGCATTAAATTCATGGGCTATACTTGTTTGAGCACTAATTACCAGTTATCTATATTTTTGTGATATTGTCTTATAGGAATTTTCCCACAGATTTTGTAATATGTTTGTGTAAATATGGAGTTTCTATTTGATGAAAATTTGTTTGATGAGCAGTTCACAAGTGGGGATAATTTTTTCCATGACATATTTAAGAAATACCAGAAAATTTAACATTCATGTAGTATTTACTACATCTAATCTCAGAGAAGACAATTTCCTCATAGAAACTCCTTTGTAAATGTTATTATAAGCTTTGGAGATCATTGTAGATGTTGCATCTCTAAAGCTGAATAAATTGAAGGTCTGAGAACCCAAGTATGTCTTTGTTGTAAGTTAGCCCCAGGACTCAGCTGAAATTGGAACCCCGCTCTTTTAGATGCTAAGATTCAGGCTCCTTAATGAGTGTACTTTCTGAGATGATATTTAGGGATATTAATATGTGTATTATGCTTTCACAAGTTACAATAGCTCTTCTCTTTGAAACCACTTATTTTATACATATCTTGGAGAGTAAATATAGTGTTGCTCCTTTTTAATCTTTTATTTCTTTGATACAGAGTGTGGTTATGCAGCTCAGACTTGTAGTGATCCTCCTGTCTCAGCCTCCCCAGTGCTGGGATTACAGGACTGCACCACCACACCCGGTTTTGGTGGCCAGCTCGGTGCAGGCCGAGTATACAGTACCAGATCAAACCTGGGTCCTTGCACTTGCCAGGCAGGCGCTTAGACTGCCGAACTATCTCCCTGGCCCTTGTTGCTTCCCTTTTTACTTTTTTTTTAAAATGTGCATCAGCCTAAAATGTAGAAGATGCATTGTGTTCTTTGTAAAAGTTTGCCATGAAGAAAAATACCTTCTAAGAGTACAGATGATAGATGGTTCACGAGTGATGTTGACCTCTATCCGGCACTTCCTGCACGCAGAGGGAAGGTAGCGGAAGAGCCTCTGTCACGCAAGCATCCTCCCAGATGTCTCACAAGCATCTTGTATCTATGTGAGAAAGAAGAGGAACCAGTGGTTTGGCTGATGGTATTCTAAGGATGAGACTGTATCGCATGTGCGTTATATACGTAACTTTCTAAGGTCTTCAGATACGTAGAATTTAGTCAAGCTCGTATTTATTTGTTGAGTTCAGGACAGGGTGTGTTCTTCATGGAGGAAGTGATTTAACAAAAAGAGCTAAGTATTTGCAAAGTCTGGAGGGATACAGCGTGAAGGTTGGACTATTGATTTCAAGTTATGCCTCCATAGCAACGACTCAAAGGTCAAGAAGTTGCTTGGCTGCCGCCACCAAGGCTTCACAGTACAAAAGCACGCAGCAAAATAACGGGCTGTGTAACTCACAGGAAGCGCTCCTGGTTGTTGGAATTTTCTCTTTGCCCCTTAGAGTCCCAGTGGAGAGGCTCTTCACTGTGCTTCTGCCCACCACATTCCTCATGAAGTCATTGCATTGCAGAAGCTGAGTTGAAGCGAGACCTCCAGGTGCTGGAGACTTGGGGAGAGCAGTCAGGGAAACCCAAAAGGTGGAAACGGATGCTGAATGTCGGTTCATAATCTGCAGCGTAGAGATGACTGAAGAGTATGTGATGCATAGCAAGGAGTTAGGAAGCAGACCCCCAGGTTCGCCTCTTACTGTGGCTTTGGGCAACTTGTTTTCCTTCTCTAAGTTTTATTTTTGTCATCTATTAAATGGACCTAACAATGATCCTTAGCTCAAGTTTCTGTAAGGATTAAGTGAGACCCTAGTGCAGTGTGGCAAGGCTGTCGGTTAATGGAGCTTCAGCGGGGAAGTACAAACAGCGCCGTAAGAAAATTGTGGCATTGCGTTGTTTCAGAAGTCCGAAAAGTCAACCTCGTAGAAAATAATGTCTCACACACTCTAGGCAGGAGCTCTAATAGAACTGAGCTACATTCCTGGTCCGTAATTTCTTTTTTATACATTTGGAAACTTTTATTAGATGTGTATACATTTACTATAGTACTGTGATTATTATTTTTACTGAAGAACAAAACTTACTGGGTGAGAGTTGTGTTTTTCACACTTGTGGATGTATTGTTCCTTGTCTTCTGGTTTCCATTGTTGCTATAAAGAAGGCTGTTTTGTGTTGAACAGTAGTGTTTTAATTTTGAAGCTTTCCTTCGGGTCATAGGAAACCTTATTCGTATGTTTGTTAGTAATATGGGGGGTATGTTACAATATAGTGTGTATCAATTTCTTCCTCAAGGTTTTCATAACCATGACTTTGCTCTATTTATATGTTAAATAATTTCTTTCCTTCCTCCCCCT